GGGGGGGTGAGATGTGCAATCCCACAAACTCCACGAATCTCCTCTAATTGGCTTATTGCCATTTCTCTTGGATTAGCTCTTACTATCTTAGGCTCTATTCACTTTGTAGATGGCATCGGTTCTCTCTGCCATATCACTCGCTTCGTTTTTTCGAGCCCTTTTTTTGTATTTTGTCTGTCATTTTCATCAATACAAAAGTATTAATTCAAATGCTCCTTGTTCCATTCATTCCTTCATACTCCCGTCTTGAAACAACGATTGGAGAGGAGGAAAAGGGGGGTGAAAATTCTGATATCGAGGTATCACTGTTTTAGGTCACGTCTCAGCTTTCTAAATGAATTCCAAAAGATTCAAAAAAATTTCTTGGTATTCCACGCTAGATAGTAAATTTCATGAAATTTCTTCCATCTCAAATTCTCCAATCCAACGTCCAATGATGAAGTCATGTAGAAAACTTAAAGAAGCATCACATCCAGGGAGCGTGAAAAATAAAATCCAAATTCCGACCACTAATCTCCCTGAAATCACGGTTATTGCTATTATTACAGGGGGCGGGGGGAGGGGGGATACGCTGCAGGAATAAAATGGTTACAGACCTTGAATTGGAGTCTCCCGGTCGCTCGAAGGCAACCCAAGAGTTAAGAGCAGAGGTTTCAACGACGACTTTAACGTGAGACGTGTTCATGGCTCGCATGTGAAGCCACATCTCCAACGTGCACGTGTCCACCGTGCCTACAAACTTGGGACTCCATATGTGTTGCTCTTCTAACCCAATGCCGACCTCCGACCGCATCCCTTCCTCCACACTCACTCCTGTCCATGTCGCCCCCTTTTTTAGATTCTCCTTGGAGTCGTTTGCGCTGATGTAATCGCTGTCTCGCGAGAATAGAAGAAAGAAACCTAAAACAGACAAAACAGAAAATAAGGGGAATTATTATTATTATTATTATTATTATTATTATTATTATTTATATGCGAAGTTATCTCCAGCTTTGCTGGGTAGTTGGGATCTCTTCACGTGAGCAAACAATGCTCATTGGTAATGAGAGTAGAGTGGGTTGAGGCCGGTGTTAACTTGGCTATGAATGGCCAATTTACAGCCGACGATAAGGTTTGCAGTAACCGGGGTGAGAACTGTGTCTTAAGACGCCCACCCAGAGGTTGCTTCTCGTCGATGATGGTGGGGTAGGGGTTCTCGTCGATGATGGTGGGGTAGGGGTCTCGTCGATGATGGTGGGGTAGGGGTTCTCGTCGATGATGGTGGGGTAGGGGTTCTCGTCGATGATGGTGGGGTAGGGGTTTATTATTATTATTATTACTATTATTATTATTTATCACACCAAAAACACTTCCGTGTAAAAATGACCCGCCAAGCTAAAAATATAAATA